GTGTTTAGATTTTTCTTGTGATGTGAAGATCCAAGGGTTTTTTTAAATGTATTCGATGCGAGACAGGCAGTGGGAAAGTTCAAAGCGTTTATTAAAACTAACAGGATCACTGGACTGCTAGTCAGCTGCGGGGCGGATCTCTACAGAGATAGGAGAATACAGGTTAGTGACATGATGTGGAGCTGAATACGACTTGGAGCAAAGTCACTGACCTGATTCAAAGTTCAGTCTGTTCGCGGAGAACACAGCTGAATCCAGACGGGAGGTCTGGGAAGATTGTTACTACTACTCCTCATAGCCCAAATTCTGGGAATGTGAAAATTTTACTAGATTAAGTTACCTCATTAATGCTCTTCAATCGTAACCCCCGCCATGCTTCTGTGTTCTCATCTGAGAGGAAGAAGAATCCTTGTTTGCGCATGCCAACTGAGTGATTTGCCCACGATGGCCGACTGAAAATCAAACATGTTTGATTTTCTCCCGACCTCGCGATTCCTGATCGGGAGGTGGGCGTGAGAGGCTGATCGCCCCTCGTTACCCCCCTGTACACTACACGACACACGACGCATAATGAGGGTGAAAGTCCACTGGAAAGTCACCCTACAAGGGCAAAAAATTGCACAGTGTATGCCCGGCTTAAGAGGACTAATAAATTCAGCCAGATTCCTAGATAGAAGAGCTGCACCATCTAAAGTGGGATGGATGCTGTCTCTCCAAATCAGACCAAGCTTTCCCCAAATAGATTGCCAATCATTAATAACAATCTCACTGTATTTAACCTTATCCTTAGCCAGCAGTTTCAGGCAGTATTTGATATTGCCCATTCTGGCACCCGGGAAACATTTGACTATGGTCCCTGCTGTTTCTAATGCCACATTTCTGACTATGGAGCTGGCAATTACCAGAGTGTGCTTCCCATTGGGTGCATCACTGAATGAGGAAAATCAATTAGAAACTTGGTGGTGATCACTGGGCAGAGATCTTCAACTTTTTTTTTTTTTTTTATACTTGGTCTCTGTTGTTGGGTTTGGAGCACATTCACCTGCCTCAGTGAGCCGCTGACAACCTTAACAGCACAGTCTTTTTTTTTTTATAGTGCTTCCCTCATATATATGTGCAAAAATTGTCTGTAAATGTGTGTAAAAACACTGTTTAAGAGGATGTCAAAACTGGCCTGAAATACGCTGAGGGGGAAGCACGGATGTTAGTCAAAGGGCTATTACTCTAATAGAAAAATAGTGTTTCGGCCTAAGTTTCAGTGTAACATTGACTTTTGTGAGCATATTGGCCTGCTTTTCTGAAATATGCTGGTGAGAACCTTGTTTTCATTGCTCACAATGTGGATTCCTGCCATCTTGTTCACAGGTTGTGTGCTGTTGAACTTTAAGTTCAAATTCAATTACCAGAGGAAATGCTTGAAATAAAGGCATTTTTTTTTATCTTCAATTTCTTATCATTAAGTGGAAGAACAAAAAATGAATTAATTGGATCTGGTGTGATGAAATTTAAGATTTATTTTTAAGCCTCATTGGCCAATGTGATTTATACTTTGTTTCTTGAAATCTCAGAGTGTCCCCCCAAAAAGTAAATAACGGTTTAGTGACAAAGATTTTTTATTGTTGGATGCATGGACAAACAGTTCCTGTTCTGTTTTCAGCTACTCCTGCGCTGATCAGGAACAGGGTTTACAATTTATTCCATGTCAGATGTGGAAGGTGGCA